GAACAGCTTGAGCAGACAAAGCCAATTACTATAATGAAATATGCAAAGACCTGGAGTTAGAAAACCAAAAGGGAAGAACATGCTTGGCATTTCTCAAGCTGAAAGAACTAAGGAAAAAAATTAAGGCTTGAGTTGCAATACTGAAAAATTCTATGGGCAAAATATTGCATGATGCAGGAAGCATCAAAAGAAGATGGAAGGAATACACAGAGTCACTGTACCAAAAAGAACTAACTGGTCAATCTTCATCCATTTCAGGAGGTAGCATATGATCAAGAACAAATGGTACTGAAGGAATAAGTCAAAGCTGCACTGAAAGAATTGGTGAAGAACAAGGCTCCAGGAATTGACAGAATACCCATTGAGATGTTTCAACAAATGGATGCCCCACTGGGAGCACGCACTCAGTTATGCCAAGAGATCTGGAAGACAGCCACCTGGCCAACTGAGTGGAAGAGATCCATATTTGTACCCATTCCAAAGAAAGGTGATACAACAGAATGTGGAAATTATCAAACAATATAATTAATATCACACGCAAGTAAAATCTTACTGAAGATAATTCAGAAACAGTTGCAGCAATGTATTGACAGAGAACTTCCAGAAATGCAAGCTGGATTCAGAAAAGGATGTGCAATGAGAGCTATCAATGCTGATATCAGATGGATCTTGGCTGAAAGCAAAGAATACCAGAAAGACGGTTACTTGTGTTATATTGACTATGCAAAAGTATTTTATTGTGTGGATCATGAAAAATTATGGATAACATTGAGAAGAGTGGGAATTCCAGAACACTTAATTGTACTCATGAGGAACCCATACATAGACCAAGAGGCTGTCATCTGAACACAACAAGGGAGCGCTGCATGGTTTAAGATCAAGAAGGAAGTGTGTCAGGGTTGTGTCCTTTCACCATACTTATTCAATCTGTATGCTGAGCAGATAATCCAAGAAGAGCATGGCATAAGGATTGGAGGAAGACTCATTAACAACCCGCAATACACTGATGACACAACTTTGCTCACTGAAAGTGAGGATGACTTGAAGCACTTACCAATGAAGATTGAAGACTACAATCTGCAATATGGATTGCACCTCAATTTAAAGAAAACAAAAATCCACACAACTGGACCTATAAGCAGCATCACGATAAATGGAGAAAAGACTAAAGTTGTCAAAGGCTTCATATTACTTGGTTCTACAATCAACACCAATGGAAGCCAGCAGTCAAGATATCAGACTACATATAGCATCTGCTGCAAAAGACCTCTATCAAGTGCTGAAGAGCAAAATGTCTCCTTGAAGACTAAGGTGCGCCTGACACAAGCTATGGTATTTTCAATCGCTTCATATGCATGCTAGAGCTGAACAGTGAATAAGGAAGACCAAAGAAGAGTCAATGCTTTTGAGTTGTGCTGTTGGCGAAGAATGCTGAAAGTACCATGGACTGCTAAGAGAACTAACAAATCTGTCCTGAAAGAAGAAGCTGGAATGCTCTTTGGAAGAGACAATGGCCCAAGTTCGTCTCACCTACTTTGATCATGTTGTCAGAAGGAACCATTCCCTGGAGAAGAATATCATGCTTGGTAAAGTGGAGGGTCAATGAAAAAGGGGAAGGCCCTCAACAAGATGGACTGACACAGTGGCTACAACCATGGGTTCAGGTATAGCAAGGATTATGAGGCTGGCAAAGGACCAGGCAGTCTTTTGTTCTGCTGTACAGAGGGTCACTATGAGTCTGAGACAACAGCACCTAACAACAATAACAACAACCAGTGAGTCTTCTTGGTTTTTGACTTTTGCATCCCAATCACCAGTAATGATCAATACATCTTGATGGCATGTTTGGTCAAATTCAGACTGCAGAAACTCTTTACTCTCAAAACCAGAACATGTTATTGAGTCACAGCAATGCCTGGGTAGCAGGTTTCAATCTCCAAAAATAAAAAAGTAATGCTTAGCATCCTAAACCAAAAAAAAAACCACTGCCGTCAAGTTGATTCCAACTCACAGCAACCCTGTAGAACAGAACAGGATTGCCTCATAGCGTTTCCAAAAAGACTGTCACATCTTTCTACTGCAGAGCAGCTGGTGGGTGCAAACCGCCAACCTTTTGGTTAGCAGCTGAGCACTTCAACCACTGTGCTACCATGGTTCCTACTAACACATCATGGGTGCTCAATAAATGTTTGTTCTTTTTCTCTTACAAAGAATTGTTCTCAAAGGGTGGTCTCCAGGTTAGCAGCATCAATATTATCTGGGAACTTTGTTACAAATGCAAATACTGTGCAACGGTCTGTGTTTTAATAAGCCCTCCATGTAATATGCACCACTCTAACGAAGGAATGAGGACCACTGGAATTTACTTCTCCCAGGGTGTTAGCAAGTATTTACAAATTCTCAAGGGTAGGTTTCTCTGAGAGCACAATGACATCATCAGTTTAAACTTCCTAGGTCTTAAAGAAAAATTGCCTTTGCATCTTGAAAGTTGATTCCGTCTCAGACAACATTTCAGAGGACTGTGGTCACTCTAAGGAGTGTTGGTGGTGTGGTGGTTAAAGCTTTTGGCTGCAGTTCAAACTGTCCTAGAGGAAAAATTATCACAAAATTGTAATAGTAAAGAAAGGAGATTTTTATTCAGCATATGCAGCAAAGGAAAACAAAGGTGGGAAACAAACATGTCATCAAAACAAATGTCTACTGAATCTGAGGAACATTACAAAATCAGCAGTATATATTATAAGTTATAAGTTATAAGTCAGTTATCAATTTACAATCCAAGAAAGCTTCCAACTTTCCATTAAAAAAAAAAAAAAAACACGCCATCTAGTCGATTCCGACTCATAGTGACCCCCCCCACCTTGGGTTTCCGAGGCTGTAAATCTTTGCGGAAGTAGATCACTCCATCTTCCTTCCAGGAAGCAGCTGGTGGGATTGAACCACTGACCTTCTGATTAGCAGGAAAATACCTTATCCACTAGGCCACCGGAGTTTTTTCCATAGATATGTTAAAATTTTCAATCACCATGATTGTTTCTTTCAATTATACAAGTTTTCAGTAACAATAGTCAGGATGGTTTTTATTGGTCCCAGCACCCAAAACAGAAATAAGATACAAAATCAAAACAAACTCACTGCCGGTAGAGTCATCTCGACTCATAGTGACCCTTCCTTGGGTTTCCGGAGGCAGTATTTCTGTGGAAGTAGATCGCCCAGTCTTTATTCCGAGGAGTGGCTGATGGGTTTGAACCGCCAGCCTTCTGCTTAGCAGTCAAATGCCTTCAGCACCATGCCAGGAGAGCTCCCAAGCTAGGGTTATCCAAAACAGGAACAAGATAATAACCTTTTTTGTTCTGACCACACGTCTGAGCAAGTTCCCCAGTGACACATGTCTGAGCAAGTTCCCCAGTTTTTCGTGTGAACCTCTTTTCTGTATCCTAGTTAACCTGATCTTCCTGAGGCTAACACCCTTCCCAGATTGTTCCCAAAATTATCATGGCTACTTCCTCTCTCTAGGCTGTCCCTGGAATTAGCATAGCCACATGGATGAGTCAAGATCAGAAACCTGGGGAAGTTAACATAGAAAACAGTGGCATCTGAACTTGGATCAAAACTCAAGATGCATTGAGGTTCCAAATGCACACCTCAGTCCTTGACAAACCAAATGCCTTTTTATTTTTATTTTTGCAGTGTTTCCTCCCCTCCCCTCCAAACCAAATGCCTTTAGATTTCAGGCTCTAATGCAAAACTTGGGAGCTCTGGTAGCATAGTGCCTAAGGCACTTGACTGCTAACCAGAAGACTGGCGGTTCAAACCCACCAGCCACTCCTTGGAAGGGAGATGGGGCAACCTACTTCCGTAGTGTTACTCCCTCGGAACCCCAAGAAGGGATCGCTGTGAGTCGGTCTGACTCCACGGCACATAACGACAACAACAATGCAAAACTCACCGACCACTTTGCCCATCTGTAAAGATTTACAGCCTGGGGAACCCTATGGGGCAGTTCTACTCGGTCCTATGGGATCACTATGAGTTGGAATCAACTGGACAACAGTGAGTTTGGTTTTTTTGGTTTGATGGTCACTCTGGCTGTCAACCGTATGCCACCTTGTTATACCTACATGTCTTGAGCGCAAATGAGAGAAACCTAACTCAAAACTTGTTTAAGCCTCCGGAGATGATTCTAATTTGCCCCCTTCCCTCGACCCTTCTGTCAGATCCTGGTGCAGTGACTCTCGCATCCCAACTGACCTGGGACAATCCAGGTTAGTGCTTGTTTTTCTAGATGGAATAGTTAACAACTCACCTTGTGCCATTCAAAAGTGTCAGTGTTAAGACTGTGAGGTGTTCATGAATCCCCTGCCAGAACAGAACCTTCTACTGTCCCAGGGCTGGCCCTGTCCGCACCCAGGGGGCTGCACTCATTTCTGAGGACTCTGCCAGCCCTAGGGCTTCCTGAGAACCATCAAATCACCTAACCCTTTTCCCTTTTCAGTGTTAACATGAAATGTGTTGTACTCCACAATCAAAAGTGTATCTCCGAACGCTATTTCTTTACATTTTTTCCCAAACTCTGGACACATTTTGACAGAATGCCAGAGGC